GGCGTCGCTTGGCCGCCGCCTCTCGTGCGCGCACAAGAATCTCGTGCAGCGTCTAGAGCTGTCTGTCCTTTTCTCCCTTCCGCCTCCGTTTCCCCAACGCTTTCCCGAACCCCAAACCCTCCTCGTCGCCAGCCCAGAATCGTGTGAACTCGTCGCGAACCCATCGCGAACCACGATCCAGATCCTCAAGGTGCGTGATTACCCACATTATAAACCAACCTTCCCTCCCCGACCACTCTTGCATTGAATCTGGAGTCAGTAGCCTGCTCGGCCTACCCGCTGGGCCCTCCTGGACCCGTCTTAGCTAAGCAGTGCTCCACTTTGCAGGCTCCTCATCCTCTTCTCGCCTGCGGCTCTGCCTCCAGCTTGGTTTGCTTTGCTACAAACCGAAAGCCTCATCGGCCTCGCCTTGCTCGCAGAGAAAAAAAGACAGCGCGCGACGTCAACGCCGCAATCGCGTCTTCAAGGAACACAGACTACCAGGCATACTGACGACTCGGCACCCGTCTCACGCAATCATGGCCACCACTTCGATGGACTACGAAGCCGCGAATGGCGACCGGTTCGAGGGTGCGTGCTCTTCAATCCCAGCAATTTTTTTTCTTGACGCGTTTCGCACCGAGAAGAAATCAACCTTGCACAACCCGCCGGTGCCCTCCACCGGTGCCATCCTCACCCTGCCTTCACATCATCACCATTCTCTCCGGGACGCGTCGCGCGACCCGGAAATTTCATCACCGTCCTTGATCATTCTCGACACCACATCACGCAAAGCGCGCGACTCGATTGGTGACCTGTATTCTGACATTCTTTGACGCGCAGACGAGCCTCCTCGCAACTACGACGATCGCCGCAGCGCTTCGCCTCGCAACGACGATGTGGTCGAACGCCGCCGTTCGGCCTCTCCCAGCAACGGCGACCGGCAAGTCTTCACCTCATTCAGCACCTGCACCTAAATATTACCTTGTCGCAGACGCCCTACGTCGGGGCGTGTCTGGCCCTGATACCGACAACCTCGCCACTGTCTTCTCTTCGCTACTCGCAACTAACATCGGCCTCACATTCGCCTCACCACAGCTCCATCCCCAAGGACGATGACGACCGCAAGGAGTCAGTCGGTGCCTACAACCCAGGTTCCAACCTCTTCGTGACTGGCATCCACCCTCGCCTCGTTGAGGCCGAGGTCACTCGCATGTTCGAGAAGTATGGCGAGGTCGAGAAGTGCCAGATCATGCGCGACCCCCACACCCAGGAGTCGCGCGGTTTCGGCTTCGTCAAGATGGTCACCCCTGAGCAGGCCGACGCCGCTATCGAGGGGCTGCAGGGCGAGGCGATCGAGGGTCGCACTCTCAGCATTGAGAAGGCTCGTCGTAACCGCCCGCGCACGCCCACCCCGGGCAAGTACTTTGGTCCGCCGAAGCGAGGTAAGATTACATGAGCACTATTTGCGTTCACCAAGCATATCCTTTCTCCGTCCGACGGTCCCTGTCGAGTAAATGTGGCCACATCGACTGACATTTTTCTTCTTGAACTCAGAGGGCGAGCGTGGTGGTGGTGGCGGCGGTGGCGGCCGCGGCGGCGGTCGTTTCGACGATCGTCGTCGTGGCGGCGGTGGTGGCTACGGCCGCGACGACCCGTACCGGTACCGCGGCTACGAGCGCCGCTATGATGAGCGCGAGCCTCGTGGTGGAGGTGGCGGCGGCGGCTACCGTGACGACCGTGGTTACGACCGCAGCGGTGGCCCGCCTCCTCGCGACGACCGCGGCTATGGTCGCCGCGAGCGTGACGACGGATACCGCTCCGACCGTTACCGCGAAGACCGCGACCGCTTCAGCGGCCCTCGTGAGGACAGGCGCCCCCCGCCTGCGGACCGCGAGCGCGAGCGCTTCGATCGTGACCGCGAAGGCCCGCGCTCTCGTGACCCTCCCCCGGCTGGTGGGTACGATGGCCCTCGCGGCGACTCTCGCGAGGCGTACGGTAGGTCGCCCTGGACTGCTTATGCACCCGCACCTCGACGGCACGCAACTGACAATGAAGGCATTTTGGATAGGATCTGAGCGCCGCTAAGCCGTGATAATGGGCTCTGGTGGCCATTGCGACATCGGCAATTTACCTTAATGTAGGAACATTTTTCTTATGTTCGTGCCGCGGGCGCAAAGGGGGCAAATCAGATATCCAAACCATGACTTCTGGAGTTCTTCGGCTTGCGGCAAACCTCATCGTCAACGGCTTCCTCGTCACCTCAGCACCACCTGACTTTTCCTTGATTTCCCTTGCCTTGATTTCGGCCTCAACTAGAATCCGACCTGGTCGCCCTGCCTCTCGCTGTCTTCCATATGGACGGCTTGTTTCAAACGGTCATCGTTGATGCTGGCCGATCCCCCCCAGTAATCCTCTCTATCTCCTTTTAATGCAACACAAAAACGGCGGAATTTATGAAACTGGTCACCGGCGATCTGGGAGGCACCCTCCTCATCACCACTCGCCCATTGGATTGTTTACGCGGAAATCGGATATCGGAGATCGGAATCGTCAGTTAACGAGGCGGCGATGCAGCAGCGTTCGTCAACTACATCAAGAAAAGCACAAAAACAAGGAACCACCTGTACGATTATTTCTTTCTATCGAGTCGTCTTCGGCTACTAGGACCGTTTTTCTCGATTCTGCTCTTGGCACCAGCTTTGAGCAACACAGGGGAGAGCACTGGACAGCAAAGAGGGGTTTGGAATGGGGCATCTGCGTAGCCACCAATGCTCTGCCCGCGGACCTGGGGCGTCATTGCCGTCGCTTTTGTTCTCGCCAGCATCATCAGTTCGAGGACTCTTTCAGCCAGCCATAAAAGCGCTCGCAATTTCGCCTTGCTTCAGTGAACGTCAGCACACACCTTGCCAGCCCTTGAACATCGCCCAAGGTGACGACAGAAATGCCGGCATTCATCAGACGAGCCAGCCCATGATAGCGACAGGCGTAATCGACAGTGGAGGACTGTCTAATGCTGCCTTGCCAAACTCGGTTGTTGATCACTCTCGAAGCCCCCAGCAACGAGGGGCGTATTTTTAGCCGAACCCAGCGGGTTGACCTTGGGAGCCCTGATGCGCTAGGAAACCTCGGGTCGGGAGGCCAAATAAGTCACGTGTGACTTGCACCCCCAGACGGCAACGCCAGCGAGCTGACCACGGTAAAACGTGTCTGCAGCAGACGAGAAGACGAGCGGGCAAGATTAACTGACAGCAGCAGAGGATTGAAAGACGGTAAACCTGCACACCGAGCTCCCTTTCGTTTTCCTTCTCTCCGGAACACGCTTGGAATGTAACCTCACCAATGGCTTTGATACCAAGTGGTACAGCGCGATCCTCTCAGAGGGTTGAAGTCTATTTGCGGAGTTTTCGGAGTTGCCGACGGAAAGCATTCCCGTCGCCTTTTGATTTCAGCTCCTTGCTTTGTTCAACGTCCCAGCGAGACTTGACCGCTTCCGGTTTCGACATCAGTTGATGCCTGATATTGGCTCGGGCTAGGGTGGAGGTTGCTTTCCCGGGTGTGCCTTTAAAGGCCGGTCGGGGATGTCTTTTGGAATGGAAGTGATGGTCCGGTCCATGCCGATGCATCTTGGCAAAAAGGAGGGGCGTCTTGCTCTCTGCCGCTCCCTCCGCCTTCTTGGGGATGGGCTAAGTTCAGGACTTGTCTTGCTTGGTGGACTGTTGGGCCGATTCCATGTCGCGCCCAGCTCGGTCCCTCGCACTAGAGGTAGGAACCCACTTTTCGGTACGTAACCATCGCTCTGAGGTGGGTAGATACTCTCCTCGAATATACCGTCAACTCTTCTCTTGACTTCAAATGCATTTTGGCCCATCGTGTGTCTCCAAGTGCTCGACACGCTCACTTCGAGGGTACCTGTATGCTTCGCATGCTAGCCACCGGCCGCTTTCAGTTGAAGTCTTTGGAGCTAAGTCTCCGATAATCTTGTCGTGTGCAGTCTTTTTTTGTTCTTTTGGCTGCCGGATCCGGCTTCCATGGAGATTGAATCTTGACTGCCATAGCTCCAGAATCAGTACAACGGGTTGTTCTTTGTCATGAAGCGCTGCCATGCAGTGGAACGACGAGCTCGGTGTATGGTGATGGCGGGTATAAGTGCCATCGGTTGCCTTGAACGAGCAGGAGCCCTTGTTGTCCTCGACCCCTTCCTTACCTTTCTAGGTATCTTTACTACATCCTGAAGCTTTCTGAATCCCACCATTTACGCCCCCAAGAACCAGAACTTGCCTTTTACCATCATGGCAAAGAAAGCGGACGACGCCGAGGAGGTGCTCCACCAGGCGACCCGGCCCACCACCAAGGACGCGACGCCTGGCGGCAACTTCGACCGAGGCTGGCTCACCGGGACCCTTCTGGCGCCGTCGCGCAGGCGCGCTGCCACGCGCCAGGCCAGTCCCCACGCCTCTCCCGCCGCCGCCGCCGCCGCCGCCGCCGCCGCCCTCGGCTCCGATGACGGA